ATTTTCTCGATTTTCTCGATTGCGCGATGCTGCGCTATATGCTGCTTGCTAGAGCGACGCTTCAAAGAATTATAACTTGCCGCGCGAATTATCTAATCTGACGAGCTGTCGCCAATTGCGATAAGGACACTTTCCAATTACGTAATTGGGTAAAACCGGATAGCACATTTAACAAATGGATGCTATTTAATAATCATTAATATCGACGCGCAATCTATGTATAACTGATATCGAAATCAAGTGATTATCATACGAAATTACTGTAATAAATTTTCTGATCGTAAGTGCGAGTTTTGCGTAATACATTTATGAACGAGAAAGATATATCTTCTCGAAGATCTAGATTAAACGCAAGTGGTATACCTCAGGTATGTTGTGAGTATCGACGTCAAGTGGCGATGCAAATTGGCACACCAGCGTATTCTGCTTCAGTATAACTAGAAAAAGAGAGAGAAAAAAATTTAGTCGGCTAAATATAATTTTTATCTATTCTTCCAATATTATAATAATGTGACATATCGAAATAATGTATCGATTTAATATACATATATGAGGATATTTTTTTATCTATCTTTAATTACCCTGTTAACATTTTCGGAACGAATTATTATTCGCGAAAATTGTAGATATCTTTTTTAATTTAAAAATAAACTGTCTGTAAATATAAATTTAAATATAAGCAGCAGTGGTCTCAAAACGGCATGTTAGGTTACTATATTTTTAATCGCAGATACTTGGAGTGTTTGAAGCCCCGCGTTTCCGCAAATCGCTAATCGCCGAGCGATAAGCCGAGCAGATAATTATCTCAATTGACGTGCTTAACGCTACGGTTACACTACAATTATCAACGTGTGTCGTAAGATAATAAATGGCTTATTAAAGTGAGATACGATTGCGATTTACAACGAATGCACACGTAGCGCTATCCCCGTTTCATTTAATCAAGAAGAAGTATAATTGAAAAAATCACATACTTAGACCAGCTAAAATTCAGAAAAGTAGAACATGATGGCGATACAAAAATGTAATTATATCTTGCTGTTTTCAAGCTATTTTTTCGTATAAGTTTAGCAATTTTATCAGTAAAAACACATGTGCTATATCTGTTTAATAGTATGAATTATTTTCTTATCTCGATACTTTGTTCTTCAGTTGTTTTTTACGTGTTTGCCGAATTGGATCGATTAATAAATATGTGTACACACGAAACGAGCCTCCTTGTCTCGTAACGATAAATTGGACATACGCCAGGTGAACGTGGAGAATACTATTGGCGCGAATATAGCACACGCGGAGATGGAGCTTTAAATAGACGGGTAATTACTTATCCAACCGTTCGACGAATAGCCGGATAGCCGGCAGCTGTCTCAACTCGGTAAAATACCACTTCACGAATATCACGAAGTAATCGAAGTGTCAATGAACCGATGAAAACAGATCGGATCCGAAAAGTTTTGATCAAATAGAAATGGCTCGATATATAAAATTCGATAAAATCCAACATTTTTCAAGCATATTTCACAAATTTATGTAAGATAAAGCCATATTTGCGATTACATTTGAAATGCGACTTATATTTTTAAATATACATTTAATTATTTATTTGTTTAACTTAATTTATTAATTTACTTGCTTATATTTGAAATGGATTTCACGAATTGTGAATTTACTTCATGCAAATTTATCGCATTCAACGACGAAAAAAATAAAACATGCTATTTGAATTCAAAAACTTGCTTTCGGGAACTAATTTCATTATTTTATTTAATATCATTCCGAACGGAGATATCGATAAGATAGATCAAATAAGCGAACGTGACGATACGAAACGGGCTTATCAATTATTGTATTCGTTTTTCCGATAAAACAAAATCTTTTATCTCGATACAGCGTTCAGATTAGAAGATATTCTCGTTCTGTTTATGTTGAAAATATATTGATCGGTGGTGAAGTGCCAAGAGTTCCTATTTCTTACATTGCATGTGCCAGCATCTCCAAATCACATTGTTCAGTCTGATCTTGTCCTTCCACCTCAGTCTGATCCCTTTGAAGCGATTCCACTTAGGCGATGTCAGCTTCTGTCTGGAACAAATTCAAATGCCCATACGTGACACCAAGTTCGTATTTTAAGAATACCTTATGTAGGCTGAAAATAAATTAGAGTTTAATAAGCCCAAGATTCTTCAAATTTGCACACGCATTTTCAGGTATAAAAAATTCAGTGCGATAAATTCACAACTTGCAGAGTTGGATTTTTATTTTAATGTGTTGCACACTCACGCTATAATGCTGATACTTAATATTAATTTTTTAAATAATATTTTATATAATATATGCGAAACTTTTTAAAAAATCCTTTTTGCTTTATTCTAAAAAATTGTATTTAAAATAAATCTTGCAAATAATGAATTTTATTAAATTTTTTCTAAAAATATTTTTGCAATAATTTCCTTGCAACAATTTATATGTAAATAAAATAATATTCTTCTCATAACAAGAAGTGTTCTTGAAGAGTGCTTATCTTCGATGTAATGATCTTTTGCGCGCATACAGAGTACGTAATGATCTATTGCACGCGTAGAGAAAGTCATTTTTATACTGCTTGTTGCGTGTGCAAAATAAAAAAAAATGCAAGTTAGCGATTGGAGAAATAACAGTGAATGTAGCATATTAGCCGCTCTCCGCGGAGTATAATTTACTCAATGACACACACACACACACACATATTGATTTATACTGCTGCCTTCAAAACATTTCAATCAAACCGATGCATTGTAGTGGTTTTAAATAGATGCGGCCAATAATTTTGACTCATCGGTAGGCGAGTGTTTGCGATTTCGACAAGCTTATCGGTGCAAGCTCTCTATCTATCGCGGGAAAAAACCGTCTGTCTTTAAGTCCTCGCGAAGCGCAGTTGGAGCTTGCTAGTGAATTTCCACGCGAAAGTTCAACAAACCGTGCGTTTGCACACTCGTTTTATTCCGGCACTTATTCAGCAGAAATTGTAAACGTGCTTAAAAATATTCTGTTGCGCAAAGCTGAATAAATATTATTTGATCATAATATGAGAGTGTCATATGACATTTGTATCAAAATATAAGTTTTACCAGTTTTGTCGTAATTTACAAAGTAAATATATTTTTTTTATCAAAGTTTGTAAAGCTTTCTTTCGAATTTCAAATTTGATTCAATTTATTTCCAAATTTGTTAATTTATATCTGCAATTTTTAGAGTTTTATACGGATAAAGAGAATACACGATACAAAAATTATGATATAAAATACAACAGTACTGTAATAATTGCAAGTACATTTGAAATATCTTTCTTTCCGAGTAGATAAATTAATCGTTTTTTAGAGACAAATGTTTATCTTTAATTTCTAAAATTTACGGTCGTAATCCTGCGACTTTTGACATTATCGCCTGAGTATCGTCGACGAAGGGTCAACAGAATGTAAAAAATCTGCAGTCGGAAGATTTCCACTAGCCCGTATCTCGCGGCGGACGTAGCGAGGTTTCTTCTCTCCTTGGCATTAGACCCTGATCGACCGAGTTCTTTCCGAGTTATTGCCATTTACATTTTTCTAATTGCGCGATTAGATAAACCGCGGCGGAGGAGGAAAGAAATTATTGCGACGAACAACTTCCGTCCGAAATTCTTGTGAAACCGGTTATTTCGCAATCATCGAGAATTGATAAAAACTGACATAAATATGTGTACAAATAAAAATAATCGTAAGAACATTATTAATCATCATAAAAAATAAAAATAATCATAAGAAATTATTGTGCGAATTGCGAATATATATGTTTAATTAGTGGAATTAACATAACTCTAGACACATCTCACGAATGTAACACGTGAAAAATACGCTGCGTAAAACGAAATTGTAAGCGCGCAACATATTTGTTGTTTATAATAATAAATATATTTATAAGAATAAAAAAAATCTGCTAAAAATAATTTTTGCGTAAAGTTAAAGCAGAAATTGCGGTAAATTATTTGCATACAATTTGGCGGCTGTGACGTAGGTATTGTAACAATTCCACGTAAATAATTATGTTACGCGAATTGAATGAAGACGATAGAAGTTTTCCACTTCCGAAGGGAGTAATAAAATTATTCCAGAGTTAAACACAATTCCGATATGCTTGCGCAAGATAAATACATTTACTAATTATCGCAAAATATCATTGCACGGATTTTTAACTTCCTTACTCGCATTATCGTTATTCTTGTAACAGCTGCACTGTTGCGTCGTTATTGGTGGCGAAGTTGCATTGATACTTGTTGCAACGTTGATATACTGATCTCAAAAATATTCAAAGTTCAAGGCAAGAGTCTTCGCCTTCGCAAACAATATCGGTTTGAAAATTTCTGGCAAAATTTGTGAGCAGAAAGAAAAGGAGGAAAAGGAATATCGGAAATTCTTTTCGAAAGTTGGTGCTTTAATTAAGTTAAACAAAGCGCACTTCGTTCATAAAAATAAATATAGCTCTGTTAAAACAACAATTGTTTAAATACGGTAACTACAAATATTTTTCAAAAACTATGCATAATAATAGCAGATTCTTTTTGTCTCTTGACAATCGCGCTCTTTAATTTTATAAAAGGTGTGTTTTGTTAAGTAGTGTAATTAGCGCGAAACCTTTTCTCGTGACAGAACAATAAATATTCTATTTGTCTGCAGATACGCCGAGTCATCCACGGACCCCCGTTTTTGCAACTTAAACGAAACATAGTGCCAAAAGATCTCATTATCAGATAACAAGTTATTTGTTCGTTGCACGATACGCGGATCGTCCGATGTCAAACACAGCGCGAATCGCGATTATTATCGCAGAAATTTAATGGTGCGACAAAATAGATAGCGCCTCGCGTTTGTAGAACGTTTTCGAAGAAAAAGAAACGATAATGAAATGTAGACAGCCGCGCGCAGAGTGAACAAAAGAAATTCGAGTCGTTCGCACCGATAAGCGCCACAAATTCCTCGATATCATTCTTATTTTAAGCGCTACGTGGTTTTAATTATCTGAATTATAAGAGGAGAGCAAAGATCGCGTCGTGGAAACTAAATTCGTCGATCGCACGTTCTCAATGTCGTCTGCCTGTCGTTAAAAAAAAGTGTCAAAAAAACAATATAAATTTGCAGAATAAATCAGCTTCATGCAAATTTCTAATTTTAATGTATCTCATTAATCTTATTATATTTTAAATTCTTTAGAGGAATAATCTCTCAAAAAATTTAATGCTAAAAATCTTTGAAAAAAATTTCAAAAACTTTTTTCAGATATCAATCCAAAAATTAAAAAATCGCGCGTGTTGAAAGGATAATCAAGTACGAGGCGATGTTTCGACGGACTACCGGCGGAAGTTTCCTCAAATAGAAATTGAATGATAAACGACTTCCGTTAGCCACGTTATCGACCACCACTGTAAATATATGGGGGTCGAATAAGAACCCAGAGGGAACGGAAACAGCCGGCCGCTGATTGGATCGGTGGGCGAGCCTCCGTCCGAGCTCACGGAATTCTCGGCCTCGCCTTGCTTGTTGCGCGTACGGAAGTGTTACGTTGTAAGCGCGTACGTACGGCACGCACTACAAGCGTACGAGTTCGTGATGACGCAGTGGCCTTGGTCGATAAAAGACACGTTGTGCCGCGATGCGTCGCGGAGACGCGGGGGAGGAGAAGGAGGAGGAGGAGGAGGCCTTTACGGTAATCTAGTGCAATTCGCCTTTTCGCGATTTGACGCGAGCGAAAGCGACGCATCGACGCGCGCGATCGAACGATGACGATTGAATAATACCGGCGAGCTTGCGGTTTCCGACGCTGATACGCAAGAAACAAGACGTCTTACGTCAAAATGTTGAAATAAAATTTGCCGTGCATTATAAAAAGCAGAGTTTGCGCGATCGCGGTTTAATTATCTGAAAGATTTTTAATTATGAATTCTCTGCGGCCCAGAAATCATTAATGCATTGATTTCGAGAAACTTGCGTCACTTTTAATATGCATGTTTGCTAATTGCGGTTTTAGAGATGCGGCCGAGCTTGGGATCGTTGATGCAAGGCGTAAACCGATAGCGCGCAAAGAAAGCAAACTTTCCCATGATATATAGACGGTGCTTACGTAAGGAAAAATCGATAATTCGCTCACTATGATATGATATGAAAATTACGATAAATAAGACCTATTTTATCCCGAGAAAGAGAGGAGAATCTAGAAAAAATATCATAATATAGAATAAAAACTGAGATATAAACTTAAAAAGTTTTAGATTGTCATTAAATCATTAAATAATCCCATTTCGCTTATATTCTTATTACTTCTTCAATTATTATATTAAAAATATACTTGTAATTAAGTAATTAAGTAATTACTTATATATTAAAAACTTATTTTTATAATGAGTGACATTTTATAGAACTTTTCATAAAACGTTCAAAAAGAATGCATAAATTCCTATCTTTTCTTTGCTCCAGCAAAGACAAAGCAATAATTTCTTTATTCCCCAACTTAACAATTTTAATATTTTTTTAAAATATGGACAAATTGTTCTTCAAGTATTAGCAAATTAATTGCTCGGTCTTGAATGAAGTCTTCACGCACGATGCAATGCTCGCAAATTAAAGTTTATGATTTACATTGATAATTCGTTTAACAAAAAAGGAAAAATCGTCTTAGCAAAGTAAAAAATCGAAACAATCTTATAAATTCTTCGATAACGCATACCCTTCGCTGGTGCAAGATGCACCGGGGATGCATTGTAAATCGTGTCATCATGACGCAGAAGGAACAACATTGAATAAGGTTTTACCTTCCGCAGTGCGGCAAAGCGAAGGCCTCCCCCCGTCGCGAGCGTCGAATGCTCTTATTCCGCGTCACAAGCGGGAATAATCTTACGATTAATTCAACGATATTTGCATTTAACGTACATTATGCAACGCAGGAACGGACGCCAACACGCGCGCTGTTGATCTTATAAAAGACGGGGTTAATACGGCGTAAATACGGAAATTCCGTCCTTTCTTATTTCGATAACTCTCTGCAACGTAATATTGCGATAGCAATCGAAACTTCAAGATTGATTTCTTATCGATGCGTGCCGTACATTTGCATTGTTAAAAAAATCGTATGTAATGTCGGCAAAATCCGCCCCTGATCAGCGATAATTCTTTGATTGCTTAAGAACTATTTGCTTCATGTTAACGAACATTACAAGCGGAAGTAGAATTAATTATAAATTACATGTATACAGCTACGTAAATTTATGAAGAAGAAATATATTTTAAGAATATATAAATTCCTAACTTCTCTTTGCGGCCCGACGAAAACAAAATAGTAACTTTTATATGCACTGTGTAATTCAACGATCTAATATAATTCGAATTTATACGCATTATTATTTTTTTTATTTTAAAATAATTTTAATTTTAATATATTTTGTTAAGTATTTATAATTACTATATAAATGTAACTTTTTAGTATGCAAATTTTACAATATTTGCTGCAAATTAATGAACATGGTTGTTGAATAAATAATAAAAGTTAAATAAGTTTCTTATAAAACAATAGCCGATTTAATAATCCATAATTTTATAGCTCATGAAGCCGATTAAACATGAATTTGTGAATAAGCGTGATAAAATACTGCGCAATTTATACTTCGCTAACATGTATTAAGAAAATATGTATTTTCCAATTGTATTAAACGTCCTAGATTGCCGATTAAGCATAAGCTTCAATTTAAGGTTTTCGCTATCAAACTTTAATATTCTTCACTCTTCATGCTTGATAAATTAAGATGCAAGCATTGAGGAAATTTGCGCAAGAAATACGTACTAGTGCAACGTGTATAGATAAGAGATTTTGTTATGCAATAAAAGTTTATCGATTATATCAGCGGTTTATTGTAATCCGATATAAGATTCTTTAATACGAGAGTGAGTCGAAAAGCAAAGGGACATTTAAGTAATAAAATCCTTGAAAAAAGTGCATTTACTTTTTGATTTCTTTTGATTTTCTCCCATATAACAAATAATTCGATATCAATACGAAGATACTTGGAGTGATAAGATTGCGATTAGAAAAGAATTACGTTTACATACCAAGTTAAATCTGTACGGCAGAAACATTTGCCACAGAATACTACTTGAAAACCATTGGATGACACTCTAGCCGATGTTATTGTATTGTACGTATCATGACGCAGACATTTAATCAACGCATTCGATAACAGCTCCGTCCCGAATCACGCTCCTAATTTCGCTTCAACTTCGCGATGAATACCGCATCGAAACAGTAACGCAATTCTAACAGATGCGTTGCAAAGTATAGCCATCACTGTGCAAACTGATCCTTAATCGCTTCATTTATCCTTCTTTCTGCGATACAACGCCCAGTTTTATGATTAAATTAACATCTTGTTATTCAAATCTACACGCAAACGAGAGACAGGATTATTATCCTAAAAAACTAAGAAACTAAGACTATTATTATGCTAACTATTGAAATTATTATTACTATGTGCTTATTATGCTAACAAACTACTTTAAATTTTACTAGAGTCCGTCGCTTTTGTCATTTTGCTCGCTATTTAATTTGAAAACCTATTTGTGAAAAAGCAAAAAGAAACTCCACATTAAATGACAATTTATGAAGCTTCTGATACGTTGTTTTTAACGATACAATTTTCAATCTAGAAATTAATAAAAGGTAATAAAAATTACGAATAAAATAGCAAAGACTGGCTTCACAAATAATTTAGAAAAAAAAAAAAAAAAAAAAACCTTTGATTGGATTATCTTGAATTATTGGAATACCTATTAAACTATTGAATTATTGGATTATTGAATTGCTTTTGTCGAGTATTGAGTAAATTCTTCGTGGAAATTCGCGGTTGAATGTCAATATTCCCTCGCGGTTGCACATAAATTTTTATCGGGTTTTTATAATTTCCATTAAATACACATCTCGGTAATTATTCGTCAAATAAAAATTCCATGGAATTGAAAAATTCACTCGAAAACGAATAAATACGCAATAAAGTTATAATGTAGGCAATCTCTTGCAAGAGATATCTTATAAATCGCGCAAATGCTGAACACCCTATTTGCTGTAATTCGTTATTACAAGATAATAGAAGTAGTATTTATTGTAACGGCGCTCATTGGTCCGATTTACGACATTGTTATTGTAGCAGTTTACATCACGGCGTTACGTCACCGTTTTCTTTCGTTGTGAATTACATTGCAACACTTATCAAGAGAAATAAGACAATTTCTTTTTAAGACCTTATCATCGATAACGAGTTTTGACGAAATCGATCGACGCGTCTATCAGGGTCGTCCGAGAGATATAATTTTGGTCTCTTGTTTGTCGCTGCATCAAAGGCAGAAATCGACGTTATGTAGATATAATAATTGTAATTTTGCATTATTTTATAATTATATAATATACAAATAAGAAAATAATTGTGTGTCATTCAGAAAAAGCCATTTTTAATTACATATTATTTCACAAATAGCACGTCATAAAATATTTTTATATTATTTTTAGAAATACATATAAATTATTCGTAAGAAAACGATCCTTCTAATTAATTTTGTACACTCAATATCAAATTGTGTTTTTGTTTTACATTTTTGTTGAATAATCCACTACTTGAGAAATGCCGTCAGGAAACTGTTCGTCACGATTTTCAATTGACATTCGGTCATGATTTAAATTTTGAATTCAATTTTAAAATTTTGCTGTGTTATCGTAAACTTGAGAGCTGCTGTATGCGATTACAGTAGGAACCGTTAAAACCGCACGTGACTTTGGCAACTTTGTTGCAGACGCACCGCAATGAATCAGCTGTAACGTCACCGTAACGCAATACGTCAGCACACCAGATACACACACATCTGCGTGACGTATATTATTCGTCCGCATTGCGCGAATTTTTCAGCCTTAGTGATTCTTTCTCCACAATTCATTTAGTTATTGATGCTATATACACATTTAATAATATATTTCAGAGTATATTATTATTATTCAAACAATTTTTTTCCGTAACGTTTATAGATTTCTGAGCTTTTTTGGTTTATCGGTATTTTGATAATTTCTTTTTACTAAATTAGCATTGGCAAAAATTTTGATAATTTCTTTTGTCGATTTTTTCATCTAACAGTATTTTGTCTCATTTAGCTTAATTAAATTTAAACAAAATTGGACTTGGATAATAAAATTAAAAAAATCTATAAAAGAACAGATAATAATTGAGTTTTAATTAATCCACCATTTTATTTTAATCTTATTTTCAAAATAAGATGAAGAACTACAGGATGGCAATTATAAACCCAGTTTAATTTTAGCTGAATTGTTTACGGGAATGAGAAACATATGTGGCGTAACGTCGTCGCGGGGGGAAGAAAGAACGGAAATTGTCGGTAGAAGCCGCGCGCGACTTTAGCGAGGCCGCGTTTAATTGCAGTGTTGTCGTTTGGTTCTACGGCCTCTCTTTCATTAATTCAATTGTCTTTTATCAGCGGGAATGCTACTAGCCAGCCCAGGCTGGCGCGGCGCAGCATTTGTCCGGTTGCCGAGTGCGAGTAAAGCGCGTCGTGTGACGCGCGCCTTTTTACATTTTAGAACAAGGACGTTTTGCTCTCTTTGAGAACTTCAAGATGACAAAATCATCTTGTGAGTGTCTGTTCGTGTACCAATTGTGTATTTTTTTACCACCAATTTATATAAAAATAGATAATATATATTCGCTGGCTTCAAGAATAAAAAGGAAACGAAAGAAGCAAAGTGAGATTGAAACAAATAGATCTAACTTTGCACACACATTTTATCACATTCAATCTCGCAATGTGCCTTTCGAGAGAGCGTCATTCTCTGTATCTCAACTTTTAACCTCGTATAATAATCGAATGCACTGTTTAGTTCGTTGAAAGGGACCCGAGATAGCTCTTTTTTATGAAAAATAGGAGAAATTCAGACGTTGAACCAATTTTCGTTCTTTTGTTTTAACATTTATAACATCACATTTGATAATCATGCAATTTTACACATTGAATTTATACCATTTATATCAATAGAGTTTGAAATAGAATCAGTTGAGTCAATAAAAATAAAATTGTAAAACCCATTTTAGATACACAACTTTAACATTTAATTTGTTAATATAAATAAATAAGAAATGTTTTAATGATTTTTCAGAAAAGCTTATTCAAAAAAGCTTAATATAATTATTTAATTTTACGCAGTAAGTCTCACCTTTAATTTTAATAAAAAACTTTATACAAATAAATAGTGCGATGTATTTAGTATTTTAAGTTTTTGTACGAAAAAAGATATTGTAAAATTAAGATTGGCAGGTACATAATTTTAATAAAATAGAAAAATAAAAATGGACTTTGCGCTTCAAGCTTTACGTAATAACTATTATTTGAAATGAATAAAACGTTATATTTAGCAAGGATCTGGAATCCGAAAAAAAAAGAGGGACTCACCTGTAGGCGAGAGACATGCATTGGAAGAGCTTGTTCAAGGACGTCTCGATGCTCAACTGCTGAGACGTATTCTTGTCATAAAACGAACCGCTGCTCGTGAATTTGTCGTACGGGAAACGCGGCGGTACGGCGATCGGAAATCTCGTGGTCTGCGCCTCCTCCTGGTCCGGCACCGGTACGGCGAGCTCGTCCTCGTCATCCTGCGCCTCGGCCTCGAAGTCCGACACCATGAAGTGACCCGAGTGTATCGTCTCGCGCGAGTCTCGCCCGCCGTTCTTCTCTCGCTTCTTATCGCTGCTAACGCAATGAAAACCGCCCTGGCTCGTCATCGCCGACGGTTTTCGGTATATCAACTCAGCCTGCATTTCGATCCTCTGCGAACATAAATGATCCCATCAATAATGCGACTCTCACCACGAAATGAATTTATCTTGCAATAGACATATTACGAGCGTTGCTCGATCGCTTCGGAAATTAATTGAGTGTGTTCGACTGTGAGATGTGATTTCAAGAAAATATTGATACGCAAATAAAATAATACACATAAAAAAGATAAAATTAAATTTTTAAATAAATATCTTAAGTCATGTGAATATTTCTAATCTTTGCGGAAATAAGATGGTTGCGTAATTAATATAAAAAAATTAATTATAAATAAAAATATTTCTTAATTAAACAATAAATTTATTATTTAAAGTAACCAATGTATTAAATATTTTGTAATTTGGTTTTAAATTGCGACAAAGTTATCAAAATTATTGCTGAATATCGACAATATACGAAATCTTAATGTAATTAATACTTTATATAAAACAAATAAAATTGAGAAAAAAAAATTATTTTTGTATAATTAAAGATAAAAATAATAAATAAATATCTCGCGATTGATAAAATGGGTTAAAATAATTTTATTTCATTGATTACTGAAGAATAAAAAATTTTTATATCTCGACTTTCTTGACTTATTATGACATCTTGACTTATATTGACATATTATGGCGATAAATTTGAAGATTACAATAAAAAATTCAGCAAGATCAGACCTACATTTTGCGATTTAAAATAGGTCGTTGAAGCGGAATGTGGCAGGATTAGGTGACCCCGTTTCAAGAAATCGCGCGCAGCAACATCTGCGTGATGAAGAAAGGCTCGCCCAGACACAACAAGCTCTAGTTATCGAGCCTCCGATAAGCTCAACCCAACGCATACTTTTTTCTAAGTATATCATATTTAAATGTTGCAAAAAGGAGAAAAACAAGAGAGAAGGAGGGTATGAGAGAGAATGATGTGTATATATATATGTGTAAGTTAGAAAAATTGAGAATACTTGAATATAAAATTATTATCGTGGAATTATTGATAATACGAGCTTACATATTTTTCGAATTGTACATACGACCTGAAATGTGCTTGTTTCGATGCTGATTTCAGCAAATCTGTAGCGATACTTAAAAGTAATTAATTGATCGATATTTTAAACAAACACAATTATTACAATTTAGTATGTAAATACAATTTGCATAAAAAATGTGGCGACAATCTGCTTATGTCTCTTGGCTTTTACGCTATATGGTTTTTACGGTATGTGATTAAATGGAAACTTCGATTGGCGCCAAGCTTCCTGTCGATGCGCGATTAACGCAACTTAACTTCGCGACAGCACGTGCGGAAAGTAATCAGATTTCTCGGTTGAACGACCGTCGAAAACGTAATGGCCAGTTACAGTCGTAATCGATTTCCGTGAAACAGTCCAAAGGAATTCTCAATGGTCAGTGACTTCTAGCACACGGCGGCTATAATTAACATACAGTCGAGACAATTCGCCGCGACGACGTGTCGACGAATGCGACCAGAAATTCAATTAATTCGGTCAGTCGAATTTTTGTGCACGACGTCTGAGACCAAGTTTTCCTCTGTACAATACGTATATGTACGCAACAATTTTTGTGCAGAAATCTTTTTATTTGAAATAAAATAGTTGGATTTGGTAAAAGAAGTAATTTTTGAAATAGATCCTATTTAAAAAAATTTTTTTCGAATAAATCCGTAACGACACGTGCTTCCTTTCTATGCTGTGACATTTAGGCTTGTGCTAAGAAGGTGATTTTCATCCTCGATCATTATGTTTGTAGAGTGTCCGAACGCAAATATCAAAATAAGAAGGTAAGACTTGTTTGTAAAATGTTCACGTGACGGCTGAATGAATTGATGGAAAAGCATGCCCTATTCATGCGACTAAGCGCGAATCTATAGAGCCTCATATTTACTTCAGTGATGCCTAAAAATAGTCTCCAAACTCTCATATTTGAAAATACATATTCTAGTTGACCTGACGCTTATTTCAGATCACGTGAAAAATAATCAACGTCTCACGCGACTTTTCGTGAAGTAAAAAAAAACAGTCATTAATAAATTGCAAAGAAAGAAATGTACAGATATCAGTATTATTATAACTTAATCTTAATGTTACTCGTAGTAGCATGAAATTCGTATTAAAATAAAAACCTAGAGGCTTCTCGATTTCAGCTTAAAAATTAATAAGATATTAGTATAAGGACAATTTATGTACCGATATTGTCACAATTTTAACATTACTGCTTGATTTATTTATCACTTTTAATATTATTACTAATTAGTATTCATGCTGATACAACTTTCAATCGTGGAACTTGAATATAAAGCCCTATATCTCTCCTTCAATCATTCTTAATTTACCGTAGCGTAAAGATAACGCGTTATAAATAGCAGCAGCAATCAAAAGAAACCGTGTAACTTCGAAACGCCGAGGCTTCACGTTGCATCACGACGAAATAGAAATTTAGGAGAACTATTCGACCCCATTAACGCAGTTTGTTAACACAAATACAAGTTCAACCAATCGCTGTGTCTCAACGAAACCTCCTTCCGTTATAACGGACGGTTACTCGCTTCTCTTTCTCGTTTATCATTCAGCCGTTTAAATTTCAGAAGGTGCTCAAAGCAATATCTATCGAAGTACCTCCGACTAAGATTTCCTCGAGCGATGATTACGCGATTCGAGTGCCGATCGTTGTATAGAACGTGCTAGGTTCTAAGGTCGCATGTTTTTCTAATTTTTTTCTTTTAGAAATCTTGCGCAAGTAATCTTGCAGCAGTGCGCGCCTTATCTTCAATCGAGCGAATTCAGCATCATGACATTATCGAGAAATGTGAAGGTGCCTCAAGGTGTGTTGGTCGCGCGCACACAAGAATTAGTATAGAGAGAACGATATAATTTATGCATTAACACGTAAAATTTTTCTTATATTCTCAGAAACGTATTATCAAAATAACTTTGGTAATAATACAGTATTCATTTTTCTCCCGAAACATCTGCAACGTTTTCTCGGAAATATTCTTTGAGCAAATAGGCGCGAAATGTTCATAAAACATTTTCCTCTCGACAATTAAATCTCATACAGGATGTTCAATCGTTAAATCTCATCAGGATAATCAATCGTAGTTTTTATCAAATTAGACATAATATTTCCTTAACGAGAATACCGAGAAATATTATCACTTATCGCATTAATTTTAATATGGTATACTTTTGCATTTAATAAGATATTTCTAAAAATTAAAATTTGATTAAAAAATGAAGACGCTGCAACGGACATTTGCTTTGATGATGTCATATAGTTTGTATAATTAGAATATTAATCACTGCAAAATTTAAAATTTTGATATACCTAATTAATCATTTAATTGCTTATTAATTTTGATCATAATTGCGTGATTTCGCGTATGAAATATTTTATTGTAAGTTTCTTTGAGTAGCCAGTTTTCAGTTCTATTCCATAATATCCCGATTGTACCTCTCGCTATCTATGAAGTGTTAATACCCTTTGACCGTCTCGAGTTAGCTGTATCGCAAGGCGAAGTCAAATGCCTTATCCGTTCGCTCATTAATGTCCATAATGCGTAATGTCCACCGTTTAGATTTCGGATTTTCTAGATAAGAACGAATATTAATGGCCAGTGGTTGTATGATGCAAGCATTTTGTTTACACTTAAGAATATCTCCTTTATAATTGTTATTAATACGACTATCAATTTAAGAATCGTACAAAGCGAGACGTAATTAATTTACGAAATCCTCAGAAAAATTAATATCATGCATTAATAAAATTTGAAATGAAATAATAGTTAATCACGACGTTTCGTGACATTCCTGTTTGATTCACCGGAAAAACCGCATTGCTATTTCTGACTCAGATCGGACAAGTTGAAAATCTTACTGTGGCCTTAATTTAAGCCTAGTTTTCCGTGTAATTCGTGTTATGACATTTTTATCATAGAAAATCATAGCAGCTTAACTTAAAAAAATAATGCATATTATTTACATATCCATAGATACTTAATAAGTGCAATTAATTGATGCAGTAATTATGCGCATCCTATAGATTATTAACATATTAGTAAAAAGCAAATAAAATAAACAAATATATATACATAAAGTTAATAAATACAATAAATAAATAATTATAATTCCGTGATACAGCATAATAACGGCATCCGGTTTCGTCAATTTTTTACATTGAAAAGCAATTAACTGCGTTTCTTTTATCAATTAATACGTCAAAAGAGAAGAGTTTTGATCCACGTGATATCTAAATCTTCGACACCTGCTGATTATGTTAATCTGCTAATTATAGTATGCAAACATATGCGATTCATGGCAAAAACAATGATCATTTATTTTTTCTTTCTTTGCATAAATTAAATCTTTTAGTAAAACAGAATTTTATCCACTACTAATTATACTGTATTATATAATTATGTATAACGCTTAATCAGTAAATAATAATTAAGATTTGAGACAATATTTAAACGAAAAGAATAGATTAAATTAATGTGACTTAATAATTATATAAACCTTTCATTGTTAATCTTAACTAAATTCTTGTAATTTAATTTTCTTATTTCCCGAGTATTACGAATCAATCACGGCTATATTTATGCTTTATTTATACCATTTTGACATGTAATTCAAGATATTCATCATTGTTGTCCCGATTCGTGAAGCATATATGATTTCTACTACACACGCTTAGCACCATCTCTGCTTTTCGAATGAAATAACGTAGAAAAGATAAGCGTAGTATTTTGGAGTAATAGAGTTTCGCCGTTACTCTCTGTTTTGATCGGCCTCGAAACGCCAAACACGTCTATAATATTACCTACATAATATTTACACGCCGCGTAAACAAGTCCCGAGTTGTTCCTTTAATTACAAACAAGGTTAGGAATTTCTGTTTTCCATTGAATTCTAAGGATAATCTAGCCGCGCGCGCACGAGGCTGACAACAAGTCGAGCACGCGTGTTTACAGTGGGTCCTCGTGGTATCATTTTGTAACTAACAAGTTATCGGAGGGAAAAAGAAAGGGGAATATTTGGTAGTGATACACGCATGTCACCTGTCAGTCCTAACATAGAAACTATTTCGACGCAACGAGAAGTCTCTGTTTCCTCTTGAGTTATCTGCGTTCAAAATGGATAAGATAGAACAGGAGCGAAGGGGGGAAAAAATGAAGAAAACATAGAATAGAGAGTGAACTAAAACGAACGAACCGTGAGTGGTGTACACACAAGTTTCCTCTCGCTCGCACTTTCTCGTGTTATCGTCCCCTCCCCCTTCTGTTTACGCTCCTTTTTCTGCGTCACTCTTTCTCTCTGTTCACGAAGCTTGTTAGGAATCGGCCCAGACGCATATACGCCGCGACTTCTCCTTATCGTGTCGCGTTGCTACGCTCCGCGGCTCCGATTTTTATCGCTTATCCGCCTCGCGTTTCATGGAAATCGCCCGCACGGTTTCTCTATCGTCCGTTTCGCTCTATCTTTCTCCCTCTCTCTCTCTCTCTCTCTGTCTCTCATTCTTCTCTCCCACCTATGGTAGTTAAAACGTAGTTAAGCCCTCGCGTGCTTGCAGCAAGACGCTCTTATTCCCGTTTCGCATTTGCGGCTATTTATTTGCCTGTACGATTGAGAAGACGTATCACGGCACCCAGATGTTCGCTCTGAACTTGTGCGACGATCGCGCTCGTTCGCGCGTACAATTTACGCGTGAGAGTAAATGCGCGCGCGCGTACTACGCACGATGTGGCACACATACACACACATACACAACGGGACAAAAGGAAGGCGAGCCTCCATCACACTCACCTTCTGGACCTGTCTCACAATTCCTGTCACCACTCTCCGTCGCCTCCGTCGTCGATGTGGCCTCTCGCGACACACGGCAACGGGCGACGACGATGTGCAGCGCCTTCTCGCTCGATTCTATTCTTCTCTATCTTTTCCGCTTATCACTCGCTTTTCCGCGCTCGTTTCACCAACGCCTGCCGTCAGGCTGGGCCGCGAGGCACCGCGCCCGGACGCGGCCCGTACGCGTTACTGCACGACACACTCACGCTCATAATAATGGCACTGCGACGCCGCCATTTGTGTGCACGAATCCGCGTTTATCCACAATACACGACGACTGCGAACCGACTATACTACGCGCGCCACTGTGCACAGCTGACGGCAAAATGCGGCCGAGAGCGCCGAGCCAATAGTGACGCGCTTCGCATCCCTACTCTTTTGACTCGACCGCGCTGTCGGCGCGGTTTTTTAAAAGCAACGCACTTCAGAGCGGCTCCGATGATATAATAAATTAATTATTAAAAGTTTATTCAATTAAACAATTTACACATAGCCGCATAATGCATATGTATAGAAAACTCGACGAAAAATTGATAGCGCAAATAGTTTGATACGCATTAATGTTCTTCTTGACGAATTTAAGCATTTAAAATAATTAAATTTTTATTCAATATTGAACTATTTACGAACAAATCTTAGTTATATTAACTATATTGATAGTGCATTTATGACATTGGGTATTTTATGGTGCCGCCAATTGTGTACACCGGAAGTGACGCAATAATGATGTGTTTTTGGAGCACGTAGAGAGTATATTTCATCTTCTTTTGTTCCAAGTGTGTGTAAAGTTTCGAAATAGTGTTAAATAGTGGCGAATAGTGATGAATAGTGCTAAATAGTGGTGAATAGTGATGAATAGATCATGGAATCTTTTGAGACTTAGTATCCTCGATTACATCGGATCATATTGGTACGTTCAATGCATCAACTTGCTGCATTTGCGCGGAACATTGATGTTACAAATATATAACCTATATTTCACAGATTGCGAATCCATAACTTTACAAAATAGTATTTTATTAAATTTTTTGTGAATTTTTAAATCTTTTTGCAGAGTAAATACTGGCACGAGACAAGCAATTTCTATGACAATAAGGTAAGTAAAACAGAAATTCTTTTTTTATTATTATTATATATAATCGGATAACCACAAATATTTGCGGATTTTGAAGGTAAAATTGAATTGTTCGTGAAAAATGAATAAAAGTGTTTTATTCAGTACAGTCTTTTTTCAACGAGATACAAGTTTATAAATGCCACTCCGGCAGAACTGCTGATCTCGAAGTGAAATGAAGAAGCAATTGTGCTTACGTATATTTCGTTGAAATGATGACATTGAAAAACCGCATGACTTTATTTGGTTATCTGATATATTATTTATTAATATCATATATCGTATATATTTTTTATCTTATTTTTCTATTATTTATTATATATATTTTATAATCCATGTGTCAAATATCGTCAAATTTAAGAATCTTAAATTCAGATTAGCTTCGACAATTTCTTTCTGATCTGAAATAATCATAATGAAGGTATTGATATATTTTTTACTTCGTTATACTGCTATACAGCATAATTATTTATGCTCAAAAAAATAAATAATGCATAATTATTATAAGTGAATTATAAGTATTTCTGATTAACAATAGACATCGACTAATATTTCAGCAGTTTACATTAATACATTTTTCTTTGTGTTTTAATTAACGCTATTGTTCACGTTAATTGAACTGAAATATCGAAATAAAGTATATATAAATATATACTCAATAATCTTATACTTTATCGAGTATAAAGACTTTTTGAGTCTTCTTTTAGTATTGTTGTTGCGTATAATTATTGTTCTTATTAGATTATTATAATTAAAAATTAATATCCCAATCAGAGAAGTCGTTCAATACTGGCTCACGATCCTGAGAATATGTGTCAAAATTTTTTATGTCATAATGGCTTCTTATCTAAACAAGAAAGTAAAAATAAAATATAGCTTTTTTATATTAAAATGTAAAATCTTGAAATTTCTTATATTATTAACATCTTATATGTTAATACAATAAATGTTAAAGATAAATTTCCAAACAAAACTTTTAGATTTTACAGTTTAAAAACTTGGGTTTAGCACTGCTATTTTATTGATTTTTATTTTCTCTGAGATAATTTATATAAAAAATGATTTTCTTCTGCAATGAAATATTTGTTGAATCTTATATTTTATTTGTTTTATTAAATCTAAAATAATTTCACTCACCGATGGGTGTAAAGGAGCGATCATTGTCTGATTTTGTAGTGACTTCCAATCAAAATTATGAAACCATCTAAATTAATAATTAACAAATTAATAATATTTTTTACAATCAAATAATTTGATATAATTACCCATAAATAGCAATAGAGACAAAGAACAGTAACTGTTAATAAAAACGTACATTCGGATAAATTAAATAAAATCATGATTCTATATAATTAAACAAGTTTTGAATTTTTAATAAATTTTTTAAATATAATTTGCAAGAAAATTTATGCAATACTTACTTATGATTTCGCACATCCATTGCGCCATTTCGCAAGTAACCGAGTCTTTTTGTCGGGTTAAACTGAAGTAGACGCCGCATAAGATTTTTTGCGCTGTTTTTGACTGTACTCGGTATAGGCACGTCATCGAAGCCTCTTAGAATTTTTTCACATACTTCTATGTCGTTTCTGTCCTGGAAAGGTGTTCGGGCGAGAAGTAGTTCATATATTAAGATTCCCAGGGCCCAATAATCCACGGCTCTTTAGATTCAAAAACAAAGAAATGTTGTTTGAAATCGGAATAATTCTTTTTATAAATATTATTTGGAATATCTGATAAAAAGAAATTGTAAAGTTCAACGGTACCTGTTGTAACCTTTAACTTGAATAATCTCCGGCGCTAAATATTCGGGCGTCCCTACGAAAGTCTTTGTCTTGTAAGCACCTATCATTTTACTAGAGCCAAGATCGGTCTGTAGCAAAAATTAGAATAGAATCCACCATTACATTTTAATTATAACGTAGATTATTTAATTACAATATGTAGAATGTTAAGATTTTACAATTTCTTAATTTTTTTAATTAATCTGTTTGAAAAGATAATTTTCGGTGAAAAATATTTATGTTGACTGATTTTGCTAAGTCTAACAGTTATTAAAACGTACGATTTTAATATAACCGTTATTGGCAATCATGATATTCTCTGGTTTCAAATCCCTGTAAACAATACCGAGCGTGTGAAGATAATCGAGCGCTTCCAGAATGCAAGCAACGATAAATTGGGCAGTCGGATTATTGAATCGACCTGTTCTGTGTAAAACTGTTCGTAGATCACCGCCAAGGCATGCTTCCATCAGGAAGTAAAGATATTTGTTGTCTTTGAATGTCCTGTGTAATCTATATTAATTACAAATATAATAGTTTCTAGATATTCCAAGAATCAACAATGAAATAATTTATAATATCTATAATATTATAAATTAATATATTAGCAAATGCAAAAGATTCGTAAATAAATAATTTTACTAACTTGCAAATGAAAGGAGAGTTGCACAATCTCAGGTTCTGCTTTTCGTTGTAGATTAATTTCTGGTATCCTTTCTGCGTGATCATCTTCTTGCGCACTTTTTTTCTGGCGAAGCTAATGTTTGGCATTGATCTCACGATTACCAATTCTACTCTACCGTAACCACCGGCGCCTATAGTTCCAATAACTTCCAAGTCTGAAAGGGCTAAATCGCGAAACTTGTAATCCCAGATATCCGCGGTGATTGTTGAATGCTGGTAGACTTGCCAATCCTTATTGCGGATCGATTCTATCCCGCCGAGATAGTTCAGGAAGGATCTGAGTTAGTTGAACAAAATACAAATACACTTGACTAAAATTATTTTTACTTTTATCTACATAATTTTAGTTTAAGTTCTAAAAGATATAAAAAGA